TGGTGCGTCTAGCAAAAATGTGAGCGAAACCTCAGGGTCATTTTTTGACCTTGTGACCTTGTGACCTTTTCTTGACCCCGTGACCTTTCAAATTTGTCCTATTTTGAAAATTCTGATTTTTTCTATCAGAGATGTCTTATTCATGCTCTTAATAGTGGTATGTGATTTGGTTGGTATATCGGACCTGTTGACCTCAAACTGAGGTCAACAATGTGGTCATGACCTGACATGAAAATGACATCTGCCGAGAACATCATGAATCATAGGCAATATGGGTGTCATATGAAAGCTAACTTCACGGAGAATACATTGGTGGTGTTTTTGAGTAGGTATGGGCCGGGTCAAGGTCACATTTAGGTCAGTGACCTAACACAGCATTGTGTTCTTTGAAGGTGGCGCATTTTATTTGTTTGGTAAGTCCAGTGATCAGCATACAATAAAAAGGAAACAAAACGTCATAAAACGTCTTTTTATTCAAAAAGCAGAAATAAAATGCACACATACCCATATAAACACACTCGCAAAAACACACACATTCATACACCTTGTTCGAGGAAGTTCTTTCAAACAAACCCCAGTGACACACGCGCTGTGAAGAACGAGTCTCAGAAGACTCGGACAGCTTGAAGGCTGCTATGGTATTGGAGTCGAGCAGTACAAAGCGGTGAAACGTCCTGGTACCCTTCACCATGCGGGCACTTGTGAAGCTTTCTTTCATTTTTGTCTTCGTTTCTGTCTTCGTTTTCTGCTATTTGCGTTGCGGGAGCTGACGCGGGAGCTGAAGCGGCATTTCAGGCAGTGGTTATTCCCCACATTTGAAATGAATGCCCAAGACTAAAAAATACACTACTTCTCTGACGGAGCAGCGTCCCAGTACAAGAACAAATACAATTTTGCAAATATATGTCATCATGCCGAGGATTTCGGTGTTCAATGTGAGTGGATTTTTTGCCACCTCGCATGGCAAAAGCGCATGCGATGGTATTGGTAATACTGTGAGGACCACCTTACCGATAAAATGCATTTCTTCTTCGTTTCGGCAACGCAAATAGCAGGAACGAAGACGAAAATGAAAGAGAACGGTTCACAAGTGCCCGCACGGTGAAGGGTAGGTAGTAGGTACCAGGACGTTTCACCGCTTTGTACCGCTCGACTCCCACACCATAGCAGCCTTCAAGCTCTCCTAGTCTTCTGAGACTCGTTCTTCACACCGCGTGTGTTACTGAGGTTTGTTTGAAAGATCTTCCTCGAACAAGGTGTATGTATGTGTGTGTGTGTTTGTGCGAGTGTGTGTATATGGGTGAATGCATTTTATCTGTGCTTTTTGAATAAAGACAGACGGTGTTTTGTGACGTTTTGTTTCCTTTTTATTGTGTGCTGATCACTGGGCTTACCAAGCAAATAAAATACGCCACCTTCAAAGAACACAATGCTGTGTTAGGTCACTGACCTAATGTGACCTTGACCCGGCCCATACCTACTCAAAAACACCACCAATGTATTCTCCGTGAAGTAAGCTTTCATATGACACCCATATTGCCTATAATTCTCGACGTTCTCGGCAAATGTCATTTTCATGTCAGGTCATGACCACATTGTTGACCTCAGTTTGAGGTCAACGGGTCCGATATACCAACCAAATCACATACCACTATTAAGAGCATGGATAAGGCATCTCTGATAGAAAAAATCAGAATTTTTAAAATAGGACAAATTTGAAAGGTCACGGGGTCAAGAAAAGGTCACGAGGTCAAAGGGTCAAAAAATGACCGTGGGGTTTCGTTCACATTTTAGCTAGACGCACCAGCCTTTGCGCTTCTTATTTCATATATAACTTTTTTTGATCCGGTGAACCGTTGCAGAGATAAAAAATACTTTATATTTCAATGTTCCGGAAAACCTAAAAATTTGCATGACCCATATCTCATGACCCCTGTGACCTAGAGACTAAAAATTTCCTGGGACGAAGTAGTGCCCATAGGTCAACTTACATGCGAAATTTGAGCAAAATCGGAGAGGTCATGGTGAACAATTGGAAAAAAAATTAGGTGATTTGTCGTGGAATTGCCCTATACATATCGAAAAACCGATAAACTTTTGGGCGAAAAAGGCACTATTCCAGGCCCATTTTTGATTTCTTTTTGCGATATTAGGTAAAACCAGAAGCTTCTTATCCTAGGAAAAATAAAATGGGAAATCTTTCAAAGGTGGCACACTACCTTTAAATTGAACTTTTTGAGCCAAACACGTACACATATGATAAAATGAATGTCACCATCGTGTTCTACGACCCAAATTACCTATAAAATATGTGTCACAGGCTGCGAATATCAGTTTTGATATTCGGGGATATGTGCCTACCCGGTTGACCTGACCTTGACCCTGACCTATGCTTGACTGACCCCTATATGGAGCTGACACTCTTGTAGGCCTTATAAGACGTATTGTGCACCGTTTTGACAGAGTTTATGGCGAGAGGCGCCCATTGCGAAGTCCTGAAGTCCATGCTACTGAAAGCCCGATTTCAGGTGTTTGACCTGACCTTGACCCGACCTGTGACCTCAAAATTCAACTTTGAAGTACTCATCTGAAGCGTCTCGTCGCGCTCTTTCGTTTGCCGCCTCGTGCGTTTCGCTGCGCCTATTGGTTCTCGAGTTATCGGCTGGGGGCGTTTAACGCCCCCCCCCCCCCCCCAGCAAACGGTGGGTGGCGAAATACCCCAGCAACTGCCGGGTTAACCCGCGCCGTGGGGTCTGTTTATAACGCGACCTGGTGGGGGGGGGGCTATTTTTTGCCCCCCCCCCTCGTATCTCCGAAACTACTGGACGGATCCGCAAAATTCAAACGGCGTTCGAAAGGCCTGTCAAATTTGTCGAAGGAAACCAAATTTCATTGACCTCGGGGTCACCGATGACGTCACAGGTCAGGTCAAAGATGAAATGTTTCACCGTTCACGGGTCTTCTAGGGAATGCGCTATAACACCGAGGAAAACGCATTTTGTCGAGAATCAGCGGTAGGGCGTCAGTTGCCTAGTAGATATGTTGCTATTAGAGGTCACTGGCAATACCAGGTCAGGTCACAGGTCAGGTCACCAAGGGTCACCGGTCAGGTCACATGAGCCCAACTTTACTAAGGTTGTGTGATACATGTTTTATGGCCAATTTTTCATTTCCAACTCAATGGTGTTGGTTGTAAGACTATCAGGTACGGCTTAGGTCACTTTCTGGTGAAGTTCAGGTCAAGGTCAGGTCAAGGTCAGGCCAAAAAAGGTCAAATTTTAAAGTTGATAGTTTTGCATAAAATGGGTATTGATTCGATGCAGCTCGTCACGGGGAATCTAATGGTGGTCTTTGTTTTGCGCTACGGGGTCTAGAATTGCTAAAAATTGAGTTTGAAAATTTGACGTCATCAATTTTGAACAGTTTTTTTCGCTATAACTTCGCCAAAAAAAGAGGTATCAATCTCAAATTTGGTATGTGGATGGAAGGCGGTAAGGACTATCACATATATTCCGGTTTTTGCGAAATTCAAAAAACTTTTTGGATGTATCGATTATTATATCCAAAAAATCTATTTTTTGATTTTTGGGGGTCAAAATCCAAAAATTTCAAAAATCCGAGATAACAGTTTTGTAGCCCTGTCCAATCTACAGCTTTTATGTCTGTATCATTTTTCTGTATTTGCAAAGCTATAGGCCTGACAGCTCTTCCCGCGAAACCCTTTATTTGGGTCGAAAACGGCAGAACATGACGTCACTCTGACGTCATTTCCGGCCAACCTATCATAGCCTTTGGAAAAATTTTTGGTCACAATGTGTAAAATTGATGTCCGGGAGGGTACTGAAAGTTTGGTGACGATCGGCGCAGCGGTTCTGGAGATATATCGAAAAGTCTGGAGGGGGGCAAAAAATAGCCCCCCCCACCATATAGTATTTAGTATTTAGTATTTAGACATGTCGTACCCAATGTAGTACCCAATGTCGGATTTTCCCGGAGGTTACCCCATCAAACACGTTTGCACGTGGCACGTGCTTTTCAATCGCCCCATATCTGACCCATACCATGTGGTAGCCGACACCCCGGGGCACAACATATTGGATCATTTTCAAAATCTACCGTGGAAATTTTTTGCAAAATCGTTTTGAAAATGATTTTTCGAATTCGCCATTGGCTCAGCATGGGGTAACTGTTCGTGCCGATTACCCGAAATTTTGTCATTTATATTTTAAATAATTACCACCGTCAGTTGGGATGCCAGGTCGCGGGTTAATGATCATCACGCAAATGCTTCGAACAAAGAAAACTACACAGTTCACAACGCAACGCAATGTTACTAAGCGAGACTCGTGTCAAAGTCAATGGTTGATTCTCATGAACCAGTATGTCACACTTAGTTCAGGTTAGTTCCTGGGAAATATTAACGGCATAATAAGTACTTTGTGGTCCATGTAGCTCCCGTAAGAAAGGTTTTTTTATATTCCGGATCGTACATAGCCTGCGCTCGCATGTCGTGACATTTGGCTATGTCAATTACCTAAATGGAAACTGAAGTTTTATTTTTCAGAGTTCAAGTTTTCTGACCGACAAAATCAGCCTACAGCTCAACAATACCACAAGAATGCATTCCACTGACACTTAATTTAATTGAAAGACTGATTGTGTTTTTTTGCGATATGTATCCATTTTTGAATCCGTTTAGACCGGTATTTGTTTGCAGCAAAATTCGCATTGAACGCAAAACGTGTGCAAAACATATCAAAGCGGTATATAGGCATACCTTCACTCTCATTGAAGTGAGAGTTATCACTGGTATATAATGGCTCCAAAACGGTTGTGTGCGTTATATTTGCGAAATGAATGAAATAATATACACATTTGACTACGTAGCTACATATAATTATATGCATCCGTTGTTGCATCCCAGTTGTTCACTTATCCAGCAAAGAAGAACCAAGTGCATTTTGAACATCCCTTAGCGGCTGACACCTGCTCTCTTACAGAATATTCCTCAACCGAGATGGCAGTTGGATCTTCAACAGTCGTCTTAACAACTCTGCCACCGACTTCCTCAACGCCTGTGGGATCTCAGCAAACGGAATCCACACTGGAGCCCGCTTCAACCGGTGCTGAAGGAGTTATCGCAGAAATCTCCACAGCCTCAACTACGGAAGCAACTTCTCCAGCTGCTGACGCAGAGTCTTCAACTGCTGGCAGTAATGCCCAAGCAGCTGACTCTATTACTTCGACAACTACAACTACTGACACCGTATCTACTTCTGCTGCAACTGTTTCTTCAACTAATGGCATAGCTTCTGTAACAACTGACATCTCGACAGCTACTGCTATTTCAACTACCGACACCATTTCTTCAACTACTGTCACTGCCGCTTCAACTACTGGCACGGAAACTCCTGCTACCGGTTATTCTGATCAGACTACCGAATTACCCACGGACATGACCCCTGAACTGACCGCCACCGCTGACACTGACGCCATCACCGACTCCAGTGTGACAACGGCTCCAAATACTGAACTATCTTCCACTTCAAACACGGAAGTAACAGCTGCGCAAACAACCGATGTATTCACTACTCCAACTGGATCAGAAACGACCACTGCAGTCACTGAAACGACAACGTTTTCTACGGAAATAACCACAGAAGTAACTACTAACGGGCTCACTGATGGAGCTTTTCTGACTACTGAGTTTATCAGTGACTCGACCACTGAGAGTACCAGTGATACGACTACTGAGATTACTAGCGGTTCAGCTTTAGAAATGACTAGTGATCCGAATACTGATGCAACTAGTGATCCAGCCACTGAGATCACTAGTGATGCGACCTCCGAGATAAATAGTGAAACGACTACTGGAGGAACAACTAGTGATCCAACTGCTGATGTTACTAGTGATCCGACTTCTGATGTTACTAGTGATCCAACTACTGAGGCTACTAGTGATCCAACTCCTGAGGTTAATAGTGATCCGACTACTGGGGCTTCTAGCGATCCAACCACAGACGGAACGGTATCTCCAGCTTCTGAAACGGCATCTCCTGGCGCTGACCTGACGACGGCTCCGACTGCAGCGGACAGCACAGCCCACAGCGTGCTAACGGCCGTCCCAACGACAACGATAAGCAAGTCATCAACTGAAGTCACTGGTACCCCTACTGAAACCACCAGTGCAGAGGATGAAACTACCATCACAGCAACTGAAACTACTGCTCCAACGACGGAAACTACTACTCCAACAACTGAGGGAACTCCTTCAGCAACTGAAGCTACTGCTCCAACTGTTCCAACAGCTGATACAACCACAACAGCCTCTTCGTCTGTCACAACCGCGGGAACTACGATTACAACGCATGGAGCTAATGTCACAACTGATGAAGCCACCGTTTCTAATACAGGACCAGCTCCCTGAACTAATAAGGTGGCATGTACGATGCCAAACTCAATGAGTGATTCATTCTGCAACAAAATCGTTTATGTTCATTTTTATTTACGTCATACCTGTTTTGCGGTGCCACGCAAAATGGCGTCACTTGTGTATGAAAGGTATTGATCCGTCTTTCTCGTTCCTTCCGTTGTCGGTATGTGCCGTTTTTTCATTCGATTGTTTATTTGGGATCTAGGTACTGGTTTCTAGTTACACACAGAAAATACATTTTAAGCACAGCACCAGAGGTGAAAAAAGCCTGCTACTCGCCTGCGTGCGTAGGAGACAGCCATAGGAATAAACAGACAGATTCGAGCATCTCAGTTGATGCATCTCAGTAGATAACTAGGCCGTTTCCACTACAATCAGAGCTGTCTTCCCATAGAAGACCACTATGGACCACGGCACAAAAATTTAACAGCGTCATCTCTTTGTAGACAGCTGGGGCTGAAAAATCCCGCCGGTGCGACAGCCGGTGCGTTGTGAAGCGCCATAGACAACGCAGGAAAAACGGCGACAGCGCGACAGCTCGTCCCCGCTCGTCGCCGGTTGAGCGGAGGCGGGGACCGGCGCGGCCTTGGCCGCCGACGGAGTAGGGAGGGACCGGGCGATGGGACGGGGGACGTCACATCTGGGCCACAACTGAGGCGAGGTCCATGACCATCGGTCCCAGAAACTTGGTAGGAGCGTTGATAATTGGTCTTGACTACTGAAGCAAAGATAAGTGAAGCAGTGACAACTGACAATCCTTTCGTGAGTTCTGATTGAACTGGATTAGGAAGCCAGGACGAGCTAGGAAGTCGATCAGACCTATAGGTAAGTTTAATGATAGTGATTTATTTTTTGTTGTGTGACTACTGAAATGTGGTGTTGCGTTGTAATGCCCAGAGGCTGAAATTTGAAAGATCAGTTTATTTCTAACATTCTAGCCTCATTTTCAAATGTACTTTTTAGGCCTCAAAGGTGATGAGAAAACGGCAAAAAAAAATGGTACCTACTGTTTCAAGATGACTTGTGAAAAATTGGCGACAGCTAGACATCGCGTAGGTGACAGCTTTTGCTAGTTTTATTCACCTCTGCACAGCACATCATATATGACATAGCCATCTGCAAAAAAGAAGAATATCAGACTCGGACAATGTTTGAAATCTGACAGCAAAGGCGGATCCAGAAATGTAGTCTTGGACGCTGCAGGTGAGGGCATAACCAATAAAAACTCCAACTTTCCAGATGGCAAGATCTCTGATTTCGCTACATTATGCATTTCTGTGCGATTAGAAAAAAAAACATGTGTAGCTTTGGTGTATTATTCGGATGCGAACAATATAATAAACATAATTGTGAATAAATGCGTGAAGACTCATTGGTCTTTTCCTCGAAAATGTAAAAACAATGCCAAAAGTTATATTTAATGCGGTGAGCTCTCGGCTGCAAGCCTTCGTCAAACCGGCTATTTGTATTCGGCTATTTTGTATCGTGTCATTTTGTTGGTTTGACGAAGGCTTGCAGCCGAAAGCTCACCGCATTAACCTTCCAGGCGGTGGGGGTGGGGGGCTTTTTTGCCCCCCTTTATTTTTTTAGATATATCTCGAGAACTGCTGCGCCGATCGTCACCAAACTTTCAGTACCCTCCAGTGAATAGTTGTTGCACATTGTGACCAAGAATTTTTTCAAAGGCTATGATAGGTTGGACGCTAATGACGTCAGAGTGACGTCATTTCTGCCATTTTCGACCCAAATAAAAGGTTTCGCGAGAAGAGCTGTCAGGCCTACAGCTTTAGAGATACAGACAAATGTTTCAACATAAAAGGTGTAAAATTAAGAGGGCTACAAAACTGCTATCTCAGATTTCTTAAATGCTTGGATTTTGATAAAAAAAATCAGAAAATAGATTATTTGAATATAATAGCCGAAAAATCCAAACAGTTTTTTTGAATTTCGAAAAAACCGGAACATATGTGATAGTCCCTACCACCTTCTATCTACATACCAAATGTAAGATCGATACATCTTTTTTTTTGTCAAGTTATAGCGAAAAAAACTGTTCAAAATTGATGACGTCAAATTTTCAAACTCAATTTTTAGCAATTCTAGACCTCGTAGCGCAAAACAAAGACCACCATTAGACTCCCCGTGACGAGCTGCATCGATTCAATACCCATTTTATGCAAAAATATCAATTTTAAAATTTGACCTTTTTTGACCTGACCTTGACCTGACCTCCACCAAAAAGTGACCTAAACCGTACCTGATAGTGTTATAACCAACACCATTGAGTTGGAAATGAAAAACTGGCCATAAAACATGCATCTCACAAGTCACAAGTCACAACCTTAGTAAAGTTGGGTTCATGATGGTGACCCTTGGTGACCTGACCTGTGACCTGACCTGTGACCTGATCTGTGACCTGACCTGGAATGACCAGTGACCTCTAATAACAGCATATGTACAAGACAACTGACGCCCTATCGCTGATTTTCGACAAAATGCGTTTTACTCGGTGTTATAGCTCTTTCCCTAGAAGCCCCGTAAACGGTGAAACATTTTATCTTTGACCTGACCTGTGACGTCATCGGTGACCCCGAGGTCAATGAAATTTGGTTTCCTTCAACAAATTTGACAGTATATCGAACACCGTTTGAATTTTCCGGATCCGTTCAGTAATTTCGGAGATACGGGGGGGCAAAACATGCCCCTCCCCCACCGCGCGGAAGGTGGCCGGGAGGCCCACCGCCTGCCGGGTTAAATATAATTTTTGGCAATGTTTTTACATTTTCGAGGAAAAGGTAAATGATTCTTCACGTATTTATTCTAGCTATGTTCCTCGCTAAAGCATGTCACACCATTAGTTGTGAATAAAATGTTGAAGAGTACGTGATGTCACCCTACATTATTTTATTTCTAGATAAAACGGGAAACCTCTATCAATTTCGGGTGCTGTAGGAGGGTGAAGGGGTATTTTCCCAAGATGTCTCTCTCCATCTGGATTCTGGGTACGTCAGTATGTGAGAGCGTCAAATTTCATCCCACTTTGGCACTCCAACCTCCAGCTCTACGCGAGTTGATCAGCGCCTGCTATGCGGTACAGTCTATCGACAGGCGCCTACCACTGCTGCCATCTAGCGACAGGCTGGTAAGTCAGTAGTTGTAATTCCGTAGACATGGTAGGACCTCGTCTAACTAATTCCCCACGGTAGCGGAATGAATTGCCCCGTAGCGACCGGCATAGGGCTCTAGCCTAATGCCAATATCTTCAGCCGCCGTGTAGACAACCTGAACCGACAACAGGTCCGGCAAGTAGGGAGAACAACGCACGAAAGAACACAAAGATATATTTTGTACAGATGTCGCTAGTATTAGAGGAGGGAGCTGTTATAGATGACGCCACAACACAGGGCCGCTCGTGTGATGGTCCAGTGGCTACTTTTGCAGCCTGCAGGTCAGGGCAAAACTGTGATGACATCGTGATGCTTATAGAATGTACATCATGCAGCACTTGCATCGATGTCCGTATCAATATTGGGGGAAGGTTAATTTGTAGCCTAGGCCCTAGGCATGCGTAGAATCACCGTAACTTTGGATAAGCCTGAAGAACGGGATTGCGGACTTCGCTAATTGCTGCCTCAAAAATGCTTAGTCTTCGGCACAGTGTTATGATAACCACTACAAGCGTCAATACAACATTTGCCTCATGAGGTCTGAGATCAAATCAAAGCCATCGAAACTGAGAAAATCAAGATCTCGTCAGGGACTCCGGCTCTCTCCCGGCGCAGCGGTACCGCGAGGGATGCTTGATGAGGAATATGAAATATTCCTTTTTGTAAGACAAGTATTTTCTCTTTCTAAGTTTATATATTCCTTAGTAAAAATTGCTAAACAGATTTTTGCAATGCTCTTTGATCATTCCCGCCATTATTTCAAAAGTTGGTAACTTCATATCTTTTGAAGATTTAGCCCTCAACCCAAAATGAATGACAGTATGTTTCCGCCATTTTGGTTTGAAGAGTTCCTTTTGCGCATGGCAGGCTCGCGGCACGAGAGCGAGGTGAGGCCGAAAATCGTGGGGATTGAATTCGGAGTTGCCTATACAAATTTTCATTCTTTTTTCCTCCGAACCAGGTAAGAGCTTGGCCACGTTGTCAACCTTGATCCTATGAATGATATTGTAAATTATCTAGCCGGTGTACGGGATGAAGAAAGGATGGTTCGTTCCCACGCGATGTTTTGCCGGCACGCCGAAACTGTCTTTGTCGATAGTTACATCTCGTAGGTAGATGTCATAGACCGCATTTCAGCATTTTCAACATGGTGTACTTCTTATTCTTATATTATTTTCAAATTTCAAGTGTAGGATGAGCTGCCGATTGAGAATGAAAGCAGGAGTACCAGTTTATGTTCAAGGCCATGTGCTTATTTTCTCATGATTTGTTTGGAAATGTCACTGAATTAAACTTAGAACCCTTAAGTACTAGGTGCAGAACATAATTATCTGGTAAGAAGAAGGTTGTTTCAGTATGTTACTTTATTAGGTAACCAATGAAGCTTTAAATATTTATGGACGTCGGAGATGAGGATTAGGCTACTGGTCCTTAAAGGAAATAGTTCACTTTCCTGAAATTAGTATTTTGCTATGGATTTATGTTTTTTTATGCTCAAAATGATCAGAAAATAAAACAAAACGTTTTTGTAAAAAAGATTTTTTTCTATATTTTAGTATAAGAAGAACTATATTCTATATAAAATAATGTTTGACGCGGAAGCTTATTACGCGTTGACCAATCATATTGCGTAGGACAAACCCATCGGCTGTAAGCAGCATTCTGATTGGCTGACGATGACGTGACTGCATTCCTCAGCAAGGCACGCATTCCTCTGCAAGGCACTCTTTTCGGAACGAAAAATGGAATCTCTTCGTCTAGGGTGATCGTTGGGCCGTAAAAGCTTCTGATTTGTGCTAGTCTCAGCGCAAGCAACAAAACTGCTATTCCAGTTCCAAACCCCATGTTAAAAGTGAACTATTTCCTTTAATAATGTAGCTATTCTTTTGTTGGTTATTTTTTGCGTTCTATTAATTTAATTAGTAAAATCGTTATTTTAATTTTTTGTGTCTTCCCATTGTTGCTCCAACCTCCTCTAACCTCTCGTTTTAATGAATTTGTCCTGTTGCTCCTACAAGCTCATCCTGAGCGCTGTTCAGTGGGCGGTTAGTACTCTTGCAGGCGCATATAGGTGCTTGTTGCCCCGGCAACAGGCTATTAACCGATAAGAAGCATGCTCGGCCCTCGGGGACACGGGTATATGAAAAATTGCAGGGACGTTGCACTTTCCTCGCTTCTTATTGGCCAATAGCCTGTTGCCGGGGCAACCGGCACGTAGGTGAGCGCAGGCAAGAGTACTAGCCCGGCCGAACAGGGTTCTGAATCCTCATCTCACCACCACTATTCTTGTTCTCCCTCATCTGAAAGGAAAGCTGGATTTCTGGATTATGTACTGGGAGACAGATATTGGTGCATGTAATGCACAGGAATTGTTTATACATGATATTTGAGTGGCATGGAGATGATTGTGGGGATAAAGAATGGTCAGCAATTTTCTACGTTTATACATCAGGTTTTTTAACAAAGTTTATCTCAAAATCTATGTTGGCACCATAAATTATCAACTGTGTCAGCTTGTAAACAGTGGATTTCCTTGTAGAAATGTTCCCATGGCTGCTCTGAAATGGCTCCTTCAAGTTCAACAAACCTCCAGTTTTTTATATTAGCTTTTGGAACAGACCCCTTTTAGTGGCATTAATATGCAGCCACTATTTGAAGCTATTTTTTGCCAAAGTATGAGCTGAACGTTTAAACTGATACATCAACATAGTGCACTCTTATTGCAGTAGAGTGATGTCTGATTTCCAGGGTAGTGTGTGAGGTTCCTAGATTATGTAACTTATGTTAATCATTGAAACAATTCAAATAGTTCCACAACCCCCTTACTAATGAAACATGGGTGCATGAATCTGTCTTTTATTGTTCTCTCTGATTCCTGTTTGGCTATTTTAGGGTGAAAGTAATGTTTCCCACCACCTGGAAGCAAAATTTTCATTGATAAGAACCTATTCCATTTGAAATGAAATGGAAATCACAGTGAAAATGCTGAAATAGTTGACTTAATTTAGTGTGTACCAGCCTTGCGTGGCACCACATTTCACAGGCACTTCTACACCATGTGCTGTGCTGCCTAGTGTCTGTGTTCCAGGCTGTATGGACTATGGAGCACTAAGCCTAACACTCTGTCTGTTCCAGGCTGTACAGGGTGCTGTCACTGACTGTAACTGACAGTGTTTGTCTCTTCCAGGCTGTACAGGGTGCTATA